CTCTCTCTCTCTCTCTCTCTCTCTCTCTCTCTCTCTCTCTCTCTAAATGTAGAACAAAAGGAGAAGGCTCTGACAAATTTTCAGGTTTTCTTCAGCATCTCATACATCCTCAAGCCTGAGAATTGAAAAAGATTGACTACCTCATCTTGTAGCATGCCATACCTGAAAAGCTTGTTCTCTTGAGGGAACCAAGAGAGAGAAGGCCAACAGAGACCTAGATATAAGAGCCACTGCCGAGATGGACCCCACCTTCTAGCCAGGCAAGAAGGCTCAAGGCAGGTAATAAGGCTCATTCTTCTGCATCAACAGTGAATTCCCACGTGTCCTCGCCCTGCACCCAGTAGCACAGAGTTGTAGCCTAGTGGTTTCTGCCTCCTCCAATCAATGTCACTGAGCAATGACAGGGAACATAAGGAAGTGCCTTTTTTCTTCAGAGAGAAAACCAGCAGAACCTGTGACCATTAAAAGGATGAGGCATCCAGAACAGCACTGCAAGGCTTGGAAAAATGATGCTGTCACTGCAACAAAAGCCCATAGCAGCGCAGAGCACACTACACACTGAACCTCACAAGTTGGTCGCCTGCTGAAACAGAGAATTTACATAAGATAAAAAAACTCCTCAAATAAGAGCCAAGATGTCTAGGATATAACACAAAATTGCTATTCATATCAAGAACCAGGAAAACCTCATTATGAATGAAAAGACCAACAATTCATACTGGGATAAATTCAACTGGGATAAATCATTTATAAATCTTATAAAGATTATAAAGCAACCCACAAATACTCTCCATCAGTGAATTGCAAGTTCTCTTGAAACAAATGAAGAACATGTTTCAAAAAACATGTCAGAACAAAGAATAAAATATAGAAGTATCGCTCTGAAAAATACAATAACCAAAATATGGGATATACTAGACAGTAGTTGAAGGTAACAGAGGATACAGTTCGCAAACTTGACAAAAGTTGGACAGAACACAGTCACGCTAAACAAAAGCACGAAACTAAACTAAAAAACAAACAGCTTCAGAAAATCTAAGGGACAAATGGAAAGAGCTAATATGAACATCATTAGACAAACACAGGAGAGGATGATGAGGGGCACTTTTTTGTTTGTTTGAAATTAAAAAAATAATGGCTGAAAACATCCCTAAATTATTTAAAGTTGTAAACCTACATATTCAAGGAGCTGAAAAAATTCTCAATAAAATATGCTCTAAGAGATCTGTATCAAGAATTTTAAAACTAGAAATAATTATTTTAAAAATCTGTGAAGTCAGAAAAACTTCATATTACTTATACACAAACGCTAACTTCAATGATAGAAAATTTCTTATTTGATAACACAGAGGTGAGGAGAAAAATATAAAAACAATTCTGTTTGTTTTGAGATACAGTCTTATGTAGCCCAAGTTGGCTTCGAACTTGCTATTAGCTGAGGGTGACCTTAAACCTTTGATTTTTCTGACATATTTTAAATTATTGCTATTTATTATTGTTTTTAGATGGTCTGTGTGTGTGTCCATGCGTGTGTGCGTGAGTGCATGTGTGTGTGTGTGTGTGTGTGTGTGTGTGTATGTAGAGGTCAAAGGACAATCAGTGGGAGTCAGTTCTCTTCTTCTACCTTTACATGGGTTCTGGGGATGGAATTTAGGTTGCCAAGTTTGCATGGCAAGTACCTTTACCCACTGAGATATCTCACCAGCTGTGGCATGACATTTCGTAAGTGGTGAAAGAAAAGTGCTGTCAATTCCAAATGTCCTATCTGGAAAGTTATCCTTCATAATGAAGAGGAAATGAAAATATCCCAGCTAAGGAAAAATTAAGAATTTGTTCCTAGTAGACATACTCTTAAAGAAGGGCCAAAGCTGTCCAAACACAAAGAAAATGATATCAAATGGTACTTTTGAAATAAGAACACTGAGACAGATTAAAATATATGTAAATGTAACAATATATTATCCTTCCTTCTTGAGCTTATTTAATATTTCAAGTTTGAAGCAAAAGATGTAATATCACTCAGCTGTTGTTTAAAGTGTCAAAGAGAAATACTTTAACAGCAATAAGGCTTGTATTACTCAAAGGGTACAACATCAATATCAGAAGGCATAATTATCTTGGTGTGGTGATACACACCTCTAATCCCAGCACTCGGGAGGCAGAGGCAGGTGGATCTCTGTGAGATTGAGTTCAGCCTTGTCTACATAGCAAATTCCAGACTAGCTGGGGCTACTTAGTGAGACCCTGTCTCAAGAAACTAAAACAAAAGCAACAAAACAAAAAAAGGGGTATAATTAACTTTATATATGTATAGAGCAATATATAGAATAACCACTAAGAATATTATGCAAAAGTGCTATGCTAAAAAACAATAGGGTTTATACCGAGTAAAATATTGTATAACTGTAACAATTCAACTGTAAACCTAAAAATTTACAGCCAACTTTGAAAAAGATGCATCTTAGCTCAGAAAATTGTTATTGAATATGTCGATGTTGTTGTAATGAAATGCTTCTTCTAAGTATGTGGTTATTAAATAAATAATAAACAGAAAAAAAACAATAAATAAAAATACTCATTAAAATCTTCAGACAAATTAGTTAGGCAAGACAAACAGAGAAAATAAAACAGAGGAGGCAAATACAGATCAACAGAATGGAATAAAAAGGAAAAATGGAAGCTGGGCATGGTGGCGCACGCCTTTAATTCCAGCACTTGGGAAGCAGAGGCAGGCAGATCTCTGAGAGTTCCAGGCCAGCTGGGGCTACAGGGAGACCCTGTTTCAAAAACATCAAAAAGGAAAAGTAGAACTAGTTATGCTCTCTACTACTATGTACAGATTGAAAGTACATTAAAAGATATGTCACTCTAACATTAATTTTTAAAAAAGCATAAATAGTTATCATAATGCCAGATAGTTCAGAGCAAAAAATTACTAAGACAAAAGAGTATTACAGAATGATAATACGAGGCCAGCAAGATGGCTCAGCAGGTAAAGCACTTGCCACCAAGCATGAAGACAAGTTCAATCTCTGAGACCCATATGATGGAAGAAGAGGACAGACTCCTATGGAAAACAATGTCTCCCGTAAGAAGATATTGAAAGCTGAAATGAACAGGAGTCAAGAAACAGAGCTCAGAAACAGATGAAGCAAAAACTGCTGGAGTTAGAGGAAGAACTAGGAAAACCCACAACTATGACAGAATTAGACAGGGCATTGACAAGGATGTAGATAATTAAACCAGCATTGGCTACAGGGACCTCACATACAAGGGCAGAACACCCAAGCATGCACAGATCTTCTTCCCAGCATTCTTAGAACATTCACCAAGAACAGTCACATCCTATGATATAAAACAAAACTTAACATTAAAAACCCTGAAATCCTGCTCGGCATGTTCTCTGACCATAATGGAGTCAAACTGAAAACCAATAATACAGAAACAACAGGGAAATCTCCAAAAAATTGGCCACAACAGAACCAAAGTAGAAATCAATAATGGAAAGAGACAATAGGAAAAGCTTCAAACACTTGGAAATTAAATAAAGACTAAGAATAGGAAGGAAAGAAATATTTGTGACAAGTCTTTATCTAAATATGGATATGCATTCTTTCTTTTGCTTAAGATAGTTACTGAGATGGTTATAAATATTTCTTATTTTTGAAACACATTAAAAAAATAAAATAGTACTTAGAACTACTTTTTTTGTTTGTTTGTCTTTTTTGAGACAGAGTTTCCTTGTAGCCCCAGCTAGCTTGGAACTTGCTATGTACAACAGGCTGGCTTTGAACTTATAGAGATCTATCTGCCTCTGCCACTTTGCCTCTTTCAATACACTTTGCCTCTTTCAAATTTGCCTCTTTCAATACCCACTATTTACTCTGTGAGCTTTGTAGGCTGGTAAGCACACTTCTCTGTCTGATAGCAACATCTTGAGGAATTTGTGGGTGGTCTTAGCGTGACAAGTTTCCTTTCATGATACACCAGGAATACTATTGAGAACACATACTTGAGTCCCCCTGGTGTCTCTTTCTAGTCAATGAACTCCCAAGGGATTTGGGTAATATACGAAAGAAGCAGTGACTGGAGAAACCCAGTATTGCTCACACCTCTTACTTCTGCTCCAGTCACCTCTCTGCCCATGGAATCCATTATGGCCCTTTAGATCAAGATACCCATAGGCAGCCTCAAAATACCACCCAGGCCCATGTCAGTCCCCTCACTACCCCAGCCATCCCTACCAGCGTGAAGCTCTTGGGTGAGGCTGCCCAGCGCTTGACTGTGGTGAGTGGCCACTCTTGCAGCACCTCCTTGCTCTTCTCATCCACACGCATCACTGAGTCTTTGGTGATGCCCAACAGGCGGGGCACAAGCTTGTTCTTGCCTTTCATCTTTTCCTGGAGAGGGAGAAGCCAGGAGTCAGCAGTCTTTCTCAGACTACATTTTTTTCTTTTCTTTTTTTTTTTAAGTGTGTTTTACTTAAAGTCTATTTCCAAATGAGTAGGACTGTTAGAACAATCAAGGTTCTGAGGCCAGGCAAATATACAGAGAGACACCAGGAGGCCAGAAAGATTCACGAAAGTGTAAGAAATACTTCAGCAGGAAAGGTTGCTCCCAAACCATAACTCTGTCAGAAAAAAGGAACAGAGCTAAAAAATAATACCCAGAGAATGAGACTCTAAGGTGAATTCAAACACTACCACCCCAGGAACCAGCTAGGTAAAGTACAAAAGAGAGCTGTGCTTTGTTTTGCTTGAGACGGGGTCTCACTATGTAGCCCTGGCTAACCTGAAACTCCCTATGTAGACCAGGCTGGCCTTGAACTCAGAGAACAGCCTGGCTCTGCCCCCCCAAATGCTGGAATTATAAGTGGGCAACACCATGCCAAGCAAAGAACAAAAAAGGATTAATCTAGAATTCAAATAAAGTAAAGTAAACCCAAATTGCTCAACTAGGATCTTCTCATTATGTAGGGGTATGATTCCTTGCCTTAAAAACAAACAAACAAGCAAAAAAATACTTCTTCCATATATTTAGATACATTATCTTTTTTTTTTTTTTTTTGGTCTTTTTGAGACAGGGTCTCCCTATAGGCCCAGCTGTCCTGGAACTCACTATGTAGACCAGGCTGGCCTTGAACTCACAGAGATCTACCTGCCTCTGCCCTCCTGAGTGCTGGGATTAAAGGTGTGCACCACCATGCCCAGCTTAGTTCTGTTTTTGGTTTTTTTTTTTAAATCATAACCATTTTTCTGGGCTGGAGAGATGATGATGGCTCAGCAGTTAAGAGTATTTGCTGCTCTTTCAGAGGTCTAGAGTTTGGTACCTAGCACCCATGTTGGGGGGCTCACAACTGCCTGTAACTCCAGCTCCAGGGGATCTGATGCCTTTTGGCCTCTGTGGGCACCTATACACACAAGCCCATATACATACATAGACACACACCCATATATACATAAATAATAAAATAAATATTAAAAACATTTCATTGTGTATATTCATTGTTCATGGTACTGAAATTTTATGCAAGAATATAATATACTTTGAGCATAACCTTCCTACCCCCATCCCCAGTTTTCTTTCTTTGAATCAGGGCCCCATTCTGAAGCCCATGCTGGATCAGAACTCAAGGCACTACCCCTGCCTGAGCCTACAAAGTGCTGGGATTACAGATGTAAACCACCATGCCTAGCTCTCCACTAATTCTGAAAACATCATTAATGATTAGTTTAATAGTTTTTTTTAAAATAACATAATGATGCTTATTAAAATAAAATATGAGTCTGGGGAGATGGCTCAGTAGTTAATGGCACTGGCTGTTCTTACCAAGGACCTGGGTTTAGTTCTCAGTATCAACATGGTGGCTAACAACTATCCTTCCAGTTCCAGGGGATTCGATGTCCTTTTCTGGCCTCTTCCACAGGCATTGCATGAAATGGGTACACTTACACACACATAGGGAAAACACTCATACACACAAAATAAAAACAAAAAAACCCCAAGTTTTTTGAGCCAGGTGTGGTGGTGCACATCTTTAAGCCCAGCACTTGGAAGGCAGAGGCAGGTAGAGATCCAGGCCAGCTTGCTCTGCATAGTGAGTTCTAGACCAGCTAGGGCTACAGGGAGACCCTATTTCAAAAAATATTCTTAAAGATTCTTATTTCACACTTGTGCTAACCCAACTCTGGATAAATTAATGACTTATGAAAAACATACAGGTGGGTATTTTTGTGATTTGGAGTAAGAAAGCATGCTCTAGCAAAAACAGTAAAATAAGCTATAAAGGGAAAGATGAATGTGTTAACTCAAAATGGTGACAGAGGAAGAGATGGGAGGCAGAAAGGGGAACATAAGGGAGAGGGAAAACAGAGACAAAGAGGGACAGAGGGACGAGGAGAGAGGAACAAAATAGAAATATCACAATAAGAAAGATTAGAAAGCAAAGGACTGGAGAACAAATATTTGTGACACACATTATAATCAAAGACTTCATATACTACAAGTGAAATGTTCTCACAAATCAACAAAAATACCTGATGAAAACACCAGCAGAAAACATAATAATAAACAATAAGCAAATAAAATCCTATTTATCAAACAGCTAACAAATTGAGTTCTTAGCCGGGTGTGGCGGTACACACCTATAGTCCTAGCACTTAGGAGGCAGAGGCAGACGGATCTCTGTGAGTTCAAGGCCAGCCTGGTCTACATAGTGAGTTCCAGGACAGCTGGGGCTACAGGGAGACCCTGCTTCAAAAACACACACACACACAAAAAGAGTTCTCAGAACTGAGGAAGGTATAAAAGGGACCATAATTGATGGAAGTTAAAAATGGCAGGGCCTGGGGCTAGAGAGATGGCTCAGAGACTAAGAGCATATCATGTTCTTGTAGATGACTGAAGTTTGGTTCCCAGCACCTACGTTGGGTGGCTCACAACTGCCTGTATCTCCATATCCAGGGGATCCAATGCTTCTGGCCTTTGTGGGCACCTGCACTCGTGCACATACCCCCTCACAGACACATATACATAATAAAAAATGGCAGAGCCTTATAGAAGAGAATAGATTGATAACTACATATCCAAAGCCTTAAAACTGTTCCCATGTTGACACAGTTTGACTTTAGGAACATTTTATTTTAAAAATTGTAAGCGTATCACAAGAAACTCAAATGGAGTTTTTCTTAGTGAAAAGCTAGAAACAGCTCCAGTTTTCAATAACAGAGAACATTACAGATAAACTACAGTATGTTCAGGTAACAGATTACAACTGTTAAAAAACATTTTGTAAGAAAATAATGACTTCTATGGAAATTATTCACTATATATGAAATAAAAATACAGTGTTCATGAACCTACATAAAACAACATAAAACACTTTTATTTTTGAATCAGTATCTCAAGTAGCCTGTCATACTATGTAGCCATGAATAAACAGATCTCCTGAACCTTCTGCCTCTGTCTCATAAGTGTTGGGATTACAGATGTACATCACCACATCCAGCCAGTGAAACAAAAGATTTTTTAAAGAAGGTAGTGTTCACTACATGAAAAAAAAATATTGGCAATGACCATTCCATGTGATTTGTATTATTTTCATTTGTTTTTCTTTATTCCAAAATTTCACTCAGCATACTTGTATTTTTAGTATTATCAGGAAGAAAAACTTTTCAAGTAATATGTGCTGAAATCAAGTAACGTCTAAACAGTTGTTCTCAGTGAAAGGCATGTGTGCATTCACAGTAATATAAAATGTATACTTGAAGGTGTGTTCTCACACCTGACACTGGGCACCTGTGCCTATACTTAAAGAGGTTGGAAACTTACTATTTAATGATTATCAGCCATCGACTTCAGACTCCACAAAGTTTCTACCATCATATTTTACTTTGCAAATGAAGATACTATTAACTTGCTCAAGGAAGACAGGAGTAAATGGTAAAGACACAACCCGAGTACACATTTAACCTTAAAAATATCTTTAGGGCTATGTGTGATGGTGCATGCCTTTAATCCCAGCACTTAGGAGGAAGAGGGAGGTAAATCTCTGAGTTTAAGGTCAGTCTGGTCTATGTAAGTTCCAGGCCTGTCAGAGCTACAGAGAGACCCTGTCCCCCGACCCCCAAAAAAAAAACTTTTTGAAGTTTTGTTTTGTTTTGTTTTAATAAAAAAACCCACCAACAACAACAAAAAAAGCAGACTGCCTAGCATGATGTCTTGTCTTTCTGATAGTGGCATAGGACTGTCCTCTGAAAGATAGACCATGGACATCAGATGCCTTCTTCCCAAGCTTGTTTGTACCTGCTTGTTTAGGATCCTCACAGACAAACTTGTTGGTATACGCCACAAGAAAGGAGTGCCATTGAGAGTCAGTTATGTCTCCCAACCAACCAGTTGGTCTTAGCTGCACAAGGGGGAGGGACTAAGGGAACCCTTAGGGAGCAGTGTCTGTCCCACCCTCCCTCCCTCTCTCACCCCCCTCACCATTTTGTGCAGCTCTGAGGTCACATCTGAGCCAGGATGGAGACATTCCAGTACAGTCTTAGTAGGGAGCACCCATACTCTTGTAAGTAAACCCTGACCCACTGCTCTGTAAGCCTAATAAATTCTGGTTTCCTAAACTATAGTTTGGAGGAATTAGACATCTGTTTGTCATAAGGATGGGGGTGGGTGGGGGGTGCAGGACTTTGTTTGTGCCTCCCAAGGAAGGAATTTTAGCAACACTGATTAAGAGAAAAGGTGGAAATCCTCCTCCCACACTATTTGGTAGACAGTGCATGAGCCGAGTAAGTGCGGTTTCCTTTAGAGTAGGACACAGTGGTATCAGAACATATGTGTTCTGTGGGGAAAGACTAAACCACTCCTTGAGCCTAAGGTCCTTCAAAGACACTGAGAAGAGTCCAATTCTTTTTAAAAAGAGGCCAGTTTCAGGACTGGGAATGTAGCTCAATTGGTAGAATGCCTAGCATGCACATGACCCTGGGTTCAATCACCAGTACTGCATAGGCTGGGAAACCCTGCTATTGTTTTTTAGGTTCATTACACAAGGGGCAAAATCCACACCTACACAACTCTCATACATATACACACAAACACATTATCATACATACACAAAGACTTTTTTAAAAAGTCACAATTTTATAGGTGAATAAACCAAGGATTGTTGATGAAGGGCAGGGTGACATCCAGGGTCAAAGCACAAAGCAGCAAAGCCAGAATCCAAACCCAGGCCTTTGTTTTCAAAGCCCGTTTCTTACCACTGAAAACACTGCCATCCAATGCTGTTCTCAATGGGTAGGTTATACTGTTTATAGACCATCTCTATATTGAGGTTGGGCGAACTATAGCCAATGTTACAGCCAGCTCATTGCCTCTTTTATGGCACAATAGCTGTGCT